AAAAAGAAAAAAAAAGAAAGAAATTTTAGAGAGCTTTTAAGTCAGGTATTCCTAAAATATTATCCAAATGGGATATATCCTGTCTGACGTTAATTAATGTTTTTGTTTATTTGTTGTTGTTTTTGTGTGTGTGAAGCAAATGAGAAAAGTCATATTTTCTTCCTGTATTTTATTTTATTTCTATATCACAGATCAACAAAATGAACTTTAAAGGTTTCCACTTGACTGGAGAGGGAAATTATTTTTGCTATTTTACTTAAATCCACATGAGAAACACAATAAATCATACAGCTCCAAGAGAGAAGTTACTGCATTGCCAATAGTGTCGTTAAGGAAATGCATCATTTTTTAAACTTTGTTTGTTTGTTTTCTAGATATACCTCGATGTAGCCCAGGCTGGATTGGCTACATGAAAGCTGAAGATGATGTTTCACTCCAGATCTCTTGACTTTTCTGAACACTGGAATGAGAGGTAGAGAGGTATATGCCACTTCTCCCGTCTAGGACACTCTCTTTTTTTTTTTTTTTAGGCTTCCTCTTCTACAGTGTTCTTACTGAATTTCTCCAGCTCGATTTTTTTTTTTGTTGTTGAATTGATTCAAGAATTTAGCCAAGTCAGCTACCTCCAGAGTTTGGTAGAGACGTGCCACTGTCTAAAATGACCCAAATCATGAAGGCGAGACTCGACTACTTGTGGTGCTGGGAACAGAGACTTACAATTAAGCTTGCCAGGAATTCAGTGATTCAACTGTCCCGATTGCACTAGTTACTGCTGCCATAAGGACACGGTGTTATCAAAATACTGTGAGCCAACTTTACAGGAAACCAAGCCCCAGATTTTCTAGCCAAGAAACTGAATAATTCCTGCAGCAAATATCCATGCATGTCACACACTGTTCACTATGGTGTTTTCTAGCTCTGTTGTCTGCTTCCCAGAACTAAACTACGGAAAACGGTAAATTTAGTAGTTTGACGAATGTACTCATGATCATAGTCCTTCCTGACTGAGGCCTCAATCAGACCTCAAAGCTTATTGTATTATCATAGTTACTTTTTCCTCATATTGAGATTAAAATGATGAAGATCGTAGTTTGGACTGCACAGTATGGGCTGTTTCTCCTTTGTAAAATAATGAAACAGTCCAGTTGCCCTCTGAAGATAAAACAACATCACTCCTAATATTCAACTATCCCTAAAAATGAGTTCAAACTGTAGTCTAGCATTTTTTAATGAAAGGTATGATCTGGAGGTTCTCCTAGCATACTTGCCCACCCCACCTTCAGGAATGTGTATTACTGGATATCACTATCTGGTTTAAAGTCCTTGCTTAGAAATGGCTTCTGCTAGCTATAGCTGAGGCTAAGAGAGGAAGGAAAAGGGGCCGGGGCGGGGGAGAGGCGCGGCAGAAGCCACAGGCTGAGACTCTAAGGTAAAACCTTGATAGAATCCTGTCTCTGTAGCCTCAAATGGGAGTTGGACAATTATATAAACACTTCATCAGCTGATTCCCCTGCCTCCACCTTCCCAGTGCTGGGATAAAAGACATGGGCCACCACAGGTGGTTAATGCAGTGCAAGGAATTGAAGCCAAACCTTTTTTGTTGTTGTTGTTTTTGTTTTTGTTTATGGTAGGCAAGTACTTGACCAGCAGTGCTCAACTCTAGGCCCTAGTTTGCATCTTGATAGATTACATTTTTCTACAAGTGAGAACTCCTTTCTGGCAGAGCTGGGATGGGGATGGGTGGGGGGTGAGGAATTTGATTTTGCTGCAATGATGCAATTCAATTCTTTTGCCACAACTAACAAGGTCGAAGACCATCTTTTCAGCTGCAGTGTCTTGGTAAGTGTGGAGGAGAAATGAACAGCTCTGCAGACTCAGAGATCAACCTATGAATCTTTGTCATTGAAAGTTAGAAACACAAGATGTTTTAAGCTCACACTCCGTGAATAGGAGGATGCAAGGAGTGAGCTTGTAATTAACTTTATACTTGAGTAAGCAGTGAAAGGCCATGTAAGGCTCCCTGTCAATCACAGAACAAGAAAACCGCTCTGCTTCATTAATTATTAGCAATTGCCACTAGGAATAATTATAAGGAGGGAAATGAGGGGCTTTGCACAAACAGGTGCTTAATCACATTAAAAAAAAGAAAGAAACTCGTATTGGCCCTGGTGAAACACTCGCCCAAATCATATAGCTCACAGCATATGACTGCTCAGTTCTTGTGGGTCTTTTAAAGAATACCGGGAATGTCTAGAATATCTGAATTCTAAGAGGAAAAACTGAAGTCTTCAGAACGTGAGCAGCCTGAGATGAAATGCGAAAGTCACTAATGCATTTATTTAGAATAACTTCGCCTTTAAGTTTCAAGTATTTTAAAAAGTCTCTGCTGGGCCTCCAGCAGGGTTCACTAAAGTCCTGGGTGTGTTTTTACACTAGTCTGATTAAATCCCTTAAAGGAGAGTATCGGAGTTGTTTTGCAAACAGACAAGAAAGCAAAACAGCAGACAGAACAGCAATGTAAAAGGAGAGGTGGGGGTTCGAGCATCCGGTGTTGCCTCCTAGAGAATCGCCTCTTTTTCTACGTTCCTGCTTTGGCCCTAAGCCCCAGGACCTCCTCTCCCTGTTCCCGCTACTACTGACCTGTGTAGACAAAGAGCAGGACCAACTTCGGAAGCAAGACCCCTGGACGCCGGGGCAGCCTCAGCGCATCCATCCAAGCCGGTGGCCCCAAGCAGCTCTGTAGGACAGACGGGTGGACCTGGTAGAGGGTGGAGTGAAGGGACAGCCAGGAAACCCAGCAGGGATGCGGAGGATACAGGGTGGTCAGGTGGAAAGGGATGTGCTCCCGAGAGCAGGGTCCAGAGCAGTCCTGGCCATGACCCCAGCCGGAGCCCTCAGGAAGCTGGCTTCGGAGAGCTGGGCGCCGGTGGTCCTTGCCTGGCTGAGCTGCTGCAGAGGCTCTTTGTCCCGCCCAAAGGTGCTGGCTCTGTCAAACAAGAGGCAGCTTCTTTGGCGTCCTTGGCCACCCAGGCTCACATTTCGTCTGTGAGGGTGGCACCAAAACGGGATGGGGGTGGGGAGGTGACGGACTCCTCCCCACTTCCCCGAGTTTTCCTCTATAGAATGACAGAGTGCTTGGCTCCATCAGGAAGGAACTTCTGAATTGTTTGGCTTTTGCTACAATTTAGCCAAACCCTCGGGACTACTGTCTCCTCTGGGTCACACTTCCCATCTGCCCTGAAGCAATGGATGGAGACCGTAGCTCCCTGTCTAAACATATGAAGTTGGGAGTTTTGGGATTTAAAAGGTAATTGCCCAAAAAACGACAGTGAAGGCTTCCCAGAATATGAAACTACAGGAATTACATGGACTCTCTGCTGAAAACTGGTAGAAAGTATATTAATCAAATAATTGAAGCATGTCAACCAATTCAGGGAAAACAAAATGAAAAAAAAAGAGGTGTCTGACCACCGCCATTGCTCTGGAGTTACTGTCCTATGCAGTTAGGTAAGAGAAAGAAAAGATATTAGCAAATTAGGTGTTCATATGGGGGAAACTCAACCAACACTGAAGCCTTTTTCTAAAAACAAAACAAAAGTGTTCAACACTATGCAGAAAGGGAAATAGAGGAGAATAAAGTATTTCCTTCAATAATTCTGCAAATTGAGGATGAAATAGATCTTAATATTATTGCCAACATGAAATTTTTCAGGTAAATTGGATTCCACAGCTTGTATAGAAAAGGAAGATGTAAGAGCAACAAAACAGTGAACAGAAAACTGGAGATATTTACAGACAATTCACTACATATGCTAATGTCATTTTCTTCTTTTTTTTAAAATACTAAACTGATTGGAAGACATTACTTGTTAAGCATGAAATCAAGCCACTAAAATACTACTTTTGAGAAGCGACACACGCTCCAAAAGTCAAATCTATCTGCACCTTAATTTAGTCAATCTTCCTTGAAGAATTTTTACCTGTGTACGTGGGCCAAAGACCAAAGGATGAGAATATACAGCACCTCTAATTACATTTCATGCCTGAGGAAAACCAAAAAGAAGAAGCCTGATCAATTCCACCCTCACCTTCAGCCAAACACATTGAAGTTTTAGTGACACCATTCAAATCTACTGTAACCTGGAAAAATATTTTAATACATTTATTTTATAAGGGAGGGTGCTATGTGCACATATAACCAAGGACAACTGTGTCTTCTTGCACACGTGTGTCTCAGAGAACAAACTCAGCTTGTACGGCTCTTTAGCAGGCACTTGTCTGCTGCACTACCTATTCTAATTTTAACCTGCATTGCTCTCTGACTCTAGGCCCTTAAGTCTGCATTAGAAGTAGATCCCCTACACCAGAAATACTTGTCCCTACAGTTTTGTTTTTGTTTTTCTTAAGCTACAGAATAAATCACATTCGTGCATTGGAGTAAGACTCAACAGTTTTTCACTCTTATGATTAGAACCTGGAGAAGACCTCAACACATATGGAATTCAAGTCTTTAAAAAGGAATACACAGGTATATGGCAGTTTTTGCAGAGCTGGGATATGGCGTTAGAGTCTTTGGGATGGGAAGATGACTGCCTCTATAGATCAGATCTGCAGGGTGAGGACAGGCACCAGAGCATGGAAGATGCAATCTCTCCCACCTCTGGATGTACACGGCTCTGGAAGAGGCTGTTAGACTAGCGCTCAGAGGACCCCAACCCCAGTTCAGAAGGTCAGAGGTGGGCCTGAGAACCTGCATTTCCAACATGACCCCTATTGAAGAAACTGCTGTGTCAGCACCATAGTGAGAGCCACTGATTTAGAATATTCTGACACCCCACAACTCGTGTCAGTAAGAAGGTGCAATGATGGTTGGAGAAGTTTCTCCCAGATCCTGAGAACAGAAATCCTGATATGGTTCAGAAGACTGATCAAGCCACCTTGCTTGCTAGTTCATCACAGTCCAAGAGAGTCTATCTTGCAGTACTCAAGGTACCATTAGCTTATAATACACAAGCAAATTTATGTGCAAGGGAATAAGAACATTTACAGGCAGAAAAGTTCCTAGAAATTAAAAAAATTTTAATTTAAAAATAAAAATCCAAGGAAACTATGATAAAATAGTCACAGATGAAAAGTAATTTTGACTACTAGGCCAAATGGATCAGATTTCATAATATAGAAATACTAAAACCCCAAAGACATACAGGCCACTTCTGAGAGCTGCATGCAAGCTAGAAGCAGTTTTAGAAGTGAAGAAGCCAGCATCAAATAAAGCTCTTTTTAAGTCTAAGCTATAATGGCATTTTGACTTTTAGATGGTACATGGGGAGTTCCAACAGTGACCCATCTGAACAAATACAAATTTACTGTCATATAAATTTTTATATGTAATTTTCAGAAATTTACTTAAAACAGGAAAAATACAAGACAGATAGGAAATAGTAGACTTTTATTTGCAACCTCAGGATGAGAGAGAGAGAGAGAGAGAGAGAGAGAGAGAGAGAGAGAGAGAATAGCAAGTGCTTTTACTCACTGAACCATCTTGCCAGTCCATAATTTTAGCTTTTAAGGGGTAAAATTGATTTTTCATGTAGGATACTCAGGCTTTGATCCTTAGCGGAGTAGAGAAAAAATATTAATCTTTTAGTCTTTTTTATATCTGAATTTCAAAGTTATCATTAACAGATCTTTTTAAAAAAAAAAAAAAACCACGGAGTATAGAAGAATTTACCCTCAATAGTAATACTTTTAAAGTTTCATTTTATTCATTATTTGGTAAGGCAGTAGGAAATAAAATTAACATGTAACAAGCTATGATATTGCAGCCTAGAAATCGTAAGTACTTAGAAGCTATTTTATGTCCTTTTCACTGGTGAAGCGTTTTATATGGAGACATGAAATAGAATGGCCAACATTATTGTCCATTTGGAGGTTGAATGCATCAATTTTTAGTGTAACTGGAATGTCCACGTCTTAGGGTTTCTATTGCTGAGATAAAACACCATGACAAAAAGTGATTTAGGGAACAAAGAGTTTATTTCAGTTTACCAGTCCATATGATAGTCTGTCATGAAAGGACTTTAGGGCCGGGCGGTGGTGGCACACGCCTTTAATCCCAGCACTCGGGAGGCAGAGACAGGCAGATCTCTGTGAGTTTGAGGCCAGCCTGGGCTACCAAGTAAGTTCCAGGAAAAGGCACAAAGCTACACAGAGAAACCCTGTCTTGAAAAACCAAAAGAAAAAAAAAAGAAAGAAAGGACTTTAGGACAGGAACTCAAGCAAGCTGGAACTGAGGCAGAGACCATGGGGGAGTACTGTTTACTGGCTTACTCCCCATAGCTTGCTCTGTCTGCTTTTCTGTAACACCCAGGACCACTTGTGCAGGGGTGACACCACTAGAGTAAACTGGGCTCTTCCACATCAGTCATCAAGAAAGCACATACTGTACATAGGCTTGCTCATAGGCCAATCTAGTGGAGGCATTTTTTTTAATTGAAATTTCCACTTCCAACATGGTTCTAGCTTGTCAAGTTCTTATAGAACTAGCCAGTACCGCCTACTCCTGGATGGTATCTTATTTGTGCTTGAAGCACAGAGAATGGCATGGAGAACATAATGGGATGCCTTTTTGTATTAAAACAAAACAAAACAAAACAAATTTTAGTCTACAGTGATAATCACAAATATAAATATTTCTAGGAGTGAGAGAGAACTCCTTCATTTAATTAGAACAAGTTTCCCAATCTGTATTGTAAAATGCTACAATAATTCAAATTTGGAAAGGAAAATTGGCATCTATACTCCCACAGCATTTATTCTTTATTCTTGCTTTTGTTGGGTATGTATGGTCACAGCAACCAGAAAAGTAAATAATATAGCTTCATAACATGATGCTGTCACGTGTGCTTCTTGAATGCCATCCTCCTTTCCCTTTAGAAACAATATTATTTTATTCATTTACTTTGTGTGTGTAAATTTCCTGCATGAATATGCCTTTGATAAAATCATGATCTCATCTCCCTTTTCAGTTAACATTGCATCGTGAGTGGTGAGTGTGGTGGTTTGATTAAGAATGACCCCCACCTCATATATTTGAATGCTTAGTCATCAGGGAGTGGCACAAAGAGGTGTGGTCTTGGAGCTGATGTGGCCTTTCTAGAAGAAGTATGTCAATGGGGGGCAGGCTTTGGGGTTTTAAATGCTCAGGGCAGCCTCTCTCTCTCTCTCTCTCTCTCTCTCTCTCTCTCTCTCTCTCTCTCTCTCTCTCTCTCTCTCCCTCCCTCCCTCCCTCCCTGCTGCCTGCCAATCCAGATGTAGATCACTCAGCTACCTATCCAGCACCATGTTTGCCTGTATGCCACCATGGTTCCCACCTTGGGGCCAATCTCTGAATGTAAGGAGGCCCCAGAGTTGCTGTAGTCATGGTGTGCTTTCACAGCAGCAGAACACTGACTAAGACACTGAAGTTTTCCCAAATTAGAGTAGTGCTCTTATTCATTATTTTCAGTAGCTATTATTGTACTCCACAAAGCTATTTTAGCATACTTCCTTAGCCCTCCCTTTAACGTGATGGTAGTCTTTGTGTATGTCAGTTTTCACTCTTGATCAGTTCAAAACAACATTTTGTACTTTAGTTGCCCAGTCTTTTTAAAAATGGAAATATATCCAAATTTTCTGTTAACTGAAACCCTTTGTTGTGATCTCCTTGGAATATGAATATAATTATGATTCTCTGTGAGACTTGGCATCATGGAAACGTTGAGTTGCATCTGACTTTCTGTCTTTTTTTGCTGACCAGACCTGACAACTTAAGCCTCCTTATATTACGATCAATCCATGTGAGTCTACTAAATGGGTAACAGAATTTATTAAGATATAAATTAAGGAAATATACTCACAAATACAGGACAGAGTAGACAGCTGAAGTCATTCTCTGATCTAACCAGGAGCAAATGCACCTTGAAGGCAGGAACAGGGAGAAGGGGCATGTGACCCTTCTCTGTTCCCTTATAAGAGGTCACATACAAGGGCAGGAAGTACCGCCTC